TATTTAAAAAACTTAATTTACTGACATTAACCTGCATGTATGTTCTTGAGGTAATATATGAGTAAATTAATCAGTCTTTGTAAGAAAGTATAAGGATTTTTTTAAATTCAAGGGGGGATCATTTTAGTAAATACAGACCAAGAGATCCAACTAAAATAATGATTCCATTTTGTAGAACAGCCTTAAATAAACTGAATGTATATCATATGTGCATATCAGTTTTTAATAAACTGCCTAGGAGTCTACGGGAACTTCCAATAAAATATTTTAAAAGTAAGTTAAGTAAATGGCTAGTGGATAAGTGTTTTTATACGATACAAGAGTTCATGCAACATAAAACTAATGTATATAATTATTTGTAATTTTAAATAAAATGTAATATAATAAAGAAATATAATATAATAATAATAATATATAATAATAATAAGCATTTTCCATATAATTTATGCTAAATAATAACATAACTTGACATTTTTGTAAGTAACATAATAGTATTTTAATTGTTTTGTAATTATAAATATTTGCATGCCTATTAAAGGCAGAATATAGCTTGAACTATGCACCACTGTTAAATCTGGTACCACCTGTATTCTGTGCAAATTAAATGTTTCTTTCTTTCTTTCTACAAATAATTATTCAAGTTTTTAATGATTTTTATGTACATTTTATATGATAGGATACTTTCACCACATGCGACAACATGGGACAAGTATTTACGCATTGTGGCTTCGAACCCATAAACATGTGATTCTGCAAAATATGCCCGCGGCAACCACATTAAAAATTTTAATGCATTATTGTGTTGCAGATCGTTGTATACCTTCTGTGTATATAGCATTCTAAGTTATTTCTCTGCGCATGTCATTAACTGGTACAGAAATACACTCACGGTAATGCGAATATAGTGACAGGAATTTGTTATCCAGCATTTTGCGAAGCTCGTTAGCAGACGTCGCACAAAACTAACAACACGTTTGAGTTCTTTTTTAGGATTGTTTGTGTAGCTAATTATACGTTCGACAAGCCAGCACCAATAAATGATGACATAAAAAATGCTCCATGAAATGATAATGTATATTTTCCTTACTTTTGTACTTGTAAGAGTGCGTGCATACATACCTATTCTTTGGTCCGGAAAAACCGCTGGTAGTAGACAATTCCACAAAGACGTTGTACGAGGAAAAAACTCCGGAGTATTTTAATACAAGTAATTTAAGTCTCCGGTCATCATCACATATCCTATGGCAGATCAATATTATGCTGCTATTTTAACTTTAACCATAAGTCTATTATTATTCAAAACACCTGATGTGAAATAATGTAATTGAATCTGATATCTTTTATACTCGCTTTCGAACATGTATATAAAGTAAATTAACTAATTTACTTTTTAAACCGTAATGGAACTAAAGTAATGAGACTTTATAAAACACTGCATTACTTTATAAAATACTACCGCGGCGTGGCAACTTTACAATGTCGCACACCAAGATCTAAACAGCGATTAACTAATAAAAATCATTTTTTTTTTCAGAAAAGGTGATAAACTGATTACAGTGTCCCTGTGTCCCGCAGGAGTTTTCTGAATTGATCAAATCTTTTTAAATGCAAATAGAGGAAAGATGTCATAATGAATCACGTATTTTAATCATAATTGAGTCTGAAAATTGGAGTTTTGTAGTTATTTCCGTATTGCTTAACAAATGTATGTATATATTTTTTTATCTGGAGTTGAACCTGTGTTGGTAAATTAAGTTCCTAGTTGGCTTCTTTTTGAAGAGTCAATATTAATTTAAATATAGCAGCATTTATAATTAATTCAATAAAAAATCCAACTGACAGAGGGGTCAGTGACCAGCAGTAGGGGTATATTGGTTGATGACTTAGCAAGAAAACACTAAATTATATAATCAAATCAAATATTTTTTATTAATAATATACCTATACCTAATATTTTCTATAAACAAAATACAGCCTCTTATGACCCTTAATTACCTAGTAGGTTCAAATAAAATTATCATAATTCCATTCCATAAAAATCTATTTGTAATACACATTTAAAATCGCATTTGACTTAATTAAGTATGATATTTCTCTATTATCAACAAAAAAGCTAAACTATGCCTTTAAATACTAACAATGGCATAATGATTTCTTATAGTTACGCGAACACTATACATTGATTAAAACTACTTTTACGGATTTTATCGCGTTTTATTTATATTAATGTCAATACCCGACGTTTCGGGTGCTTTCCAGCACCGACGGTCACGGGGGACTGAGGTGACTGACGTCCCGATGTCAAAGTTAACCCGGAGTACCTTCAGCTTTTTAATTATTGTCTTTGGTCTGATCTACGCAGAATGAACTAACTTTGAAGTCTTGCAGTGGTATGCTTGGGTTTAGTTTTAATTTTATTTATTATAGGATCCCAAGCAGGTGGTAGTACCCAGCCACGTTCTCTATTGAAATTAGGATGATTTTTAATTTCAATAGCCTCACGTATCACCCTTGGTAGGAATCGATGTTCTTTCGCGAGGATTTGTGGTCTATCAAATCTGATATAATGGTTGGGGCCATCTAGAATATGATCGCAAACTTCAGACTTCCCGGAACGTTGATGATTCACATCAGCTATGTGTTCTTTTACTCTGATACTTTCACAATTTTACCATCAGACAAAGTAACTGCATTTTTAGAACATCTTAATTCCATAAACCCTAAAATTCAATTTACTGTGGAGTTAGAGGAAAATAATTCCTTAGCTTTCCTAGATGTGTTAGTCATCCGAAATCCTAATAACACCATAGGTCATACTGTGTATAGAAAAAAGACCCATACAAACCGATACTTAAATGGTGAATCTCACCATCATTCTTCACAGTTAGCTACCGTGGGCAAATTTTTGTTTCAGAGAGCACGAGGGATCTGTGACAGCAAACACCTGGCCACCGAGATTCAGCACGTCAAGCAGGTTCTGCACGACAACAAGCTTCGGGTCCCGCGCCTCCGTCACAGTGACCGAGTGAAGCTGGCCACAGTCGAGCGTGTGCCTGCTATACTACCATATGTCAGAGGTTTCACAGACAATATTGGCTACATCTTGAAGCGAGCTTCTATTAGAACATTCTACAAGCCGCCGAAGAAGATTAGTCAGTTCTTACCATCCGTCAAGTGTCATATTCCTCTACAAGATGCAGGAGTGTACAAGCTTGATTGTGATTGTGATTTCTCATATATAGGGCAAACAAAGGGATCAATTAGAACCCGCGTGAAAGAACACATAGCTGACGTGATGCATCAACGTTCCGGGAAGTCTGCAGTTTGCGATCATATTCTAGATGGCCCCAACCATTACATCAGATTTGATAGACCACAAATCATCGATTCCTACCAAGGATGATACGTGAGGCTATTGAAATTAAAAAACATCCTAATTTCAATAGAGAAGGAGGCTGGGTACTACCATCTGCTTGGGATCCTATAATTAATAAAATTAAAACTAAACCCAAGCATACCACTGCAAGACTTCAGAAATACAGTCAGTTCATTTTGCGTAGAACGGACCATAAACTATAATTAAAAAAGCTGAAGGTACTCCGGGTTTAACTTTGACATCGGGACGTCAGTCACCTCTCAGTCCCCCGTGTACCATGGGTGCTGGAAAGCACCCGAAACGTCGGGTATTAACATTAATATAACGCGATAAAATCCGTAAAAGTAGTTTTAATCAACACTAATAATGGCACTTTGAGATCATCATTAACAACAACAATTTTGGTTTTTTACTATTTAGGTATCAGAAACATTTTTTGGTGTATATATTCTTAGTAGGTAGTTAATAATGCAAACACTTTAAAAAGAATAAAGCAGTCATTTATCAGTATCACCCAAAACATATTTATAATAAACATCATAATAGGATTTTGGAATGACGTTCTTATCAATCAATTCTTTTATGTCTTTTTTTTGCATCATACAATGCAATTTTTTCAGTGTATGCATGTGTTAAATCAATTGAAAATAACGATTGATCTATAGCTATGGCAGATCCGGATCCTCTTACGCGAAGAATCCTCTTTCGCACACAAACTTTCTTTCTAAACGTTTCCTCTGTAAATGATGTTTTATAGAAAAACGCTTCAGGATGATCTTTTACAACCCTAAGAACCTTTAAGTCATGCCACTTGACTTGATTTCTCTCTTCGTCTGTATTGAAATTTGTGCCCCACGTTTCTTGCAAAGCTTTAACATCATAAAACTTATCATGCGTCATTTCTACGACTGTGTAAGGTTTTCCAGTCTTTTTTGCTGTACCAATCAACGTTTTATATTGCTCTGGTATATAGATTGGACCCGACTGCAAGTATCTTTTAATTTGTTTCTCAATGACACTATGGACGTTGTTACCTTCATTTTGTGAGTGTCCACGTATTAAAAACTTGTGAGTAATAGACTTAACTCTTAACTTGTTGACAGCGTAGGCATACAACAGAAACTTATATTTTTGTTGACCGCCACAATTGTCCGAGAAGAAAATTATTTCAATTTCTTTATTAGGATTTTGGTCTCCCTGAGTTTTAACGTAGTCGAGTATGCAGCTGCCAATCTCAATAGTTCCTCTCTTTCCTTCGGTTTTATCCCAAAAGTAGCACATACCTTCTTTTGCCCTTAAATCGCTGATGATAAAATTGAGACAGTTGATCCTGGATTTATAAAAAAATAGCGATATTTTTCCCTTTGGAATTTGCAAAACTGCTTGCAAGTCGTAAACTGCTACGATAATACCATCGGCACTACTTTTATCATTATCTTTCTCACTTCTTGCCAAAACTTTTTCATTCTGATGCTGTTCATACTCTTGGCTTAAGTTTCGTTTTTGTTCTGAGTCTGAATTCTTATACCTTTCGCACAGGTCGCTTTAATCTTTTTTAATACGAAAAAAAAATGTTGAATTCAGTGTCGAATATCCTGTTGAATGTGGAAGACGTGGCAATAGCTTAACCATCCTTTTCACGACGTTGTTTGTAAGCTCTGTAGATATCCGCCAATGATTTCTTACTTGAAATATACTGTCTTTTCGTTTGAGCTCTCAAGTAGTGAAACTCAATCTTTGGAATAGAATTTATAAAATCAATAACGCTTTGTTTGATTTGTGGATCAATAGTTGGTTGATGGCCGTGTTTTCCTCTCAAATCTCCTAGTATGACTCCTGATTCGGAGACCTTGGAAAGTGCCGTTTGTATAGCTTTATAACTCAACCCGAGAGTTTGAATTATTTGAGTTTGAAGAATGAAGAGTTTGAAGAATTTGAAAAACGGTTTGTAAACTCTAATTTTGGATCCAGCAACCTCAAAACAAAACGCAGTGTTAAGTGCTCTAAAATCTTGTGTGCTTGAGTATCGATATTTAGGTTTTATTTTTTGTGAGTGTCGCACTATAAATTCTCTCTGCCTTTCAAGATTGCGGAGTCCCCAAAATGCATGAAAAAGCTGTTGCCTTGATATTTTATTGATCTTATCTTTACATTTTAGCCGACATTTTTCTCCACAGGTAAGAACGACTTTTCTCTCTTGCACTTGTAACTTTGATTTTGACATAGACTGGTAGGCTTTACCAGAATTTCTCAGCACTTTCGCAACTTTCGATTTCCACATCGTTGGTTTTTGTACCCTCCTTTTACCCTTTTTTTCTTCTATAACGAGCTCTTGGGAATTAATTTCAGCTACCGTAGTATTTTAAGGGTCAAGCTGTAAATGCGCACTATCATCTTCGGTGTCCGACGAGCTATTAGAACGTGATAAGCTCTTAGAGTTACTACTGTTGGTGCTGGATGAAGGCAGCAATGAACCGTGGTACGATCTTAGATAGTGTCTTCATCATCATCATCATTACATCCCTTCACAAGTCCACTGCTGAACATAGGCCTACCCCAAGCAATGCCACAAAGCACGGTCCTGAGTCACATGCATCCATCGACTTCCTGCATGTCTTTTTTTTTATAGAAGAGGGGGCAAACGAGCATGTGGCTCACCTGATGTTAAGTGACTACCGCCGCCCATGATCAACCGCAATACCAGGGGAATTGCAGGTGCGTTGCCGGCCCTTCTCTAGGTCTATCTCTAGGAGGTCTATTTTTAGACTTGAGTTCAGCTTTTGACACGATAAATCATAATATACTACTACTGAAATTGGAACATTACGGAGTTAGAGGCTCAATATTGAGGTTATTTGAATCCTACTTATCAAATAGAAAACAATTTGTTGAGATTAAAACAATAATAGACGGCGTTGAAACGATATACAAATCTAAATTGAAAACCTTAAATAAGGGTGTTCCACAAGGCTCCATTTTGGGACCCATATTATTTATAATATTCATTAATGATTTAACTGCTTATATACATACCAAACAGCAAGATGTAAACTCAATTATTTATGCGAACGATACAAACGTGATTGTATCTGCTAACTCGATAGACGAACTAAATACCAAAATGAAAAACACACTGTATGACTTTAAAAATTGGTTTGCTACTAACGATCTACTACTAAATACAAATAAAACGTACGCAATGCTTTTCAAATCTACAGCAAGACGAAAGGACTCAATAAACATTGACATTGACGGTAAAAATATTGAATCTGTTCAAACAGTAAAATTTCTAGGAATCCACATTGACATGTACTTGAACTGGAAAAAGGAAATGACAGCACTATAATCTACTATCAGTGCAGCATGCTATGCCTTAAGAAGTTTACGAGACGAAGTTACGTTAAAGCAGCTTAAGTTGGTTTATTTTGCTCTAGTAGAATCACAACTTCGTTATAGCATACAATTCTGGGGCAACAGTTATAAATATAATATTAAGAAAGCGTTTGTATTACAAAAAAGAGCGATCCGCACCATGTTACGTATTCCACAAATTGAGTCGTGTAAAGAACATTTTCGAAAACTTGACATACTTACGGTTCCCTCTCTGTATATCTTAGTTTCACTTACATACTTAGTAAAAAATTTTTACAAATATGAAACAAACGAAGAAAGGAAAAAGAGAGAAATGACACGTCGAAAAGATTTAAAAACTTCAATTACACCAACTTTGAATGTTGTACGCCACAGCACAAGGCATCAAGCCATTGCACTATTTAATTCTTTACCTATCTCATTTAAAGTTATTTATTGCCACCGAAAATTCCAAAATAAACTCAAATCATTATTAATTAAGAAAAGCTACTACTCAGTTGACGAATACCTAAATGACAAAAATAAACTTAATGAATGTTAATTTTTTTTTGTTTATGTACTATATTTTAATCTATTATGACATGAAAAATATTTAATTATGACATGAAAAGTATTGAATGTATATAAGTATAAAGAATGATTGTCAAATGATATTTAAATTTTATTCGATTTTTGTTTTATTTAAGTCAATTGCATGTAAACGTAATTTCTGATTTTGTTTAATTAATTTTCCAATACAATGTAATATTGTTATAAGGAGTAAATGAATATGACTATGACTATGACTATGACTTTAGAAAGGAGTAAGCTCTTTTCTTGAAGGTCCCCAGGTCGTATCGGTCCGGAAAAATCGCCGGTGGTAAATTATTCCACAGAGAGGTTGTACGCTGAAGAAAACTCCTTTTGAAGCGTACAGTGGTGGACCGCCAAGCAACCAGATGGTATGGATGGTATCGGGACGTTTGCCATGTAGTGCGTTCACGAAATTTGGCGCTGGGATTAATCCGAACAATTCCTCAGAGCACTCCCCCGTGATAGATGCGATAAAATACGCAAAGAGATGCAACATCTCTTCGCAGCGCCAGTGAATCGAGCCGATCGGAAAGCACTCGGTCGTCGACGATTCGAGCCGCTCTGCGCTGGATGCGGTCAAGTGGAAGAAGCTGGTACTGGGGAGCCCCAGCCCAGAGATGGGAACAGTATTCCATGAGCGGCCGAACCTGCGCCTTGTAAAGTTGCAGGCGGTGTGCCGGCATGAAATACTGTCCCGCTCTGCTGAGCACGCCAAGCTATTTAGAGTCCATTCCATTCCATGTCTTACCGGGTCGTCACTCCATCTAGTGGGGGGTTGCCCTACACTACGCCTACCGGAACGAGGCTGCCACACGAGAACGTTTCTTCCCCATCGGTTATCAGTTCTCGTTCTTCGAGCTATTGCCACATCAGCTGTGAAGATGTGTCGTAATTTCCCGAACGCTGCCCAGCCGAGTTGAATCCGTCGATTGACCTCTCGGTCGAAGTTGGACTTACCTAGTCGGACTATTTGTCCCAGGTAAACGTACTCGTCAACAACTTCGAGCATAGTGCTCCCAACAACTACCGGCATAGGTGTGACATGGACATTAAACATGATCTTTGTTTTGTCCATGTTCATCTCAAGACCTATCCGTTGGGAGATACCATTTAGGTCATTGAGCATAGTGCTAAGGTCCTCCAGGGATTCTGCCATAAGGACTATATCATCGGCAAATAGAAAGTGAGTGATATACTCGCCATTGATGTTATTACCGTATCCTTTCCAGTCCAGTAGCTTGAAAACGTCTTTCAACGCAGCGGTGAAGAGTTTTGGGGATATAACGTCACCCTGTCTTTTACCTCTCTGCAGTTGGATAGGATTTGAACCATGGTTCTGTACTCGGATAGCCATCGTAGCCCTACTGTACAAACACTTCAGCACTTCGATATACCGACAGTCAACTTGACACCGCTGAAGGGACTATAGCACCGCCCAAATTTCGACGGAATCAAAGGCTTTCTCATAGTCCACATACGCCATGCAAAGTGGCAGATTGTACTCTTCGGTATTCTGTACAATCTGCCGCAGGGTATGTATGTGGTCTATGGTACTGAAGACTTTTCGGAAACCGGCTTGTTCGGGAGGCTGGAAGTCGTCGAGTCTGCGTGCGAGACGATTCGTAATGACTCTCGAAAACAGCACGCGGCTCAGAAGGGAAATTGGTCTCTAGTTCTTCAAGAGAGCGTTGTCGCCTTTTTTAAAGAACGAAGACCACCGAACTTCTGCTCCATGCCTCTGGAGTAGTGCCACCATGGAGGACGGAATTGAAGAGCTACTGAAGGACTTCAAGTACCGGTGTTCCACCCGCTTTCAGAAGCTCCGCTGTAATTCCATCCTCGCCTGGGGCCCTGCCGTTTTTAAGGTGCTGGAGAGCCATTCTAATCTCGCTCAGACTGACGTCCGGGATATCATTGGAATAGCGTCGGGTAAGACTTGCTCTTGGATTGTTACTCACACTTGCGTGTGGCTCCAACGATGATGTGTACAGCTGCCCATAGAACCTCTCAATCTCACTCAAAATCTCAGGTGTCTCGGAAACGATGCTCTTCAGCTCTTCAGCTTTGGCAATTGGCTCTTTCTGGCAGACAGATCTCTGGCAAAGACTTTGGAGCCCTGGTTCCGCTCGATCGCTTCTTTAATACGAGCAGTATTAAAGTTGCGTAAGTCTCGCCGCATACATTTGGAGATCTGTCTGTTCAGTTGCCTGTATGCTGTCAAATCTCTTGACGATTGCAGCCTCATCTCCCGTCTAATAGCCATGAGATTAAGAGTGTGATCGGAAAGTTTTTGTGTTCTTCTGCGGCAGGTCTCGCAGAACTTTGCTCCAACTAGCTAGCTTTTCATATTTTTAAGATAACATTATAAAAACATATTTTATATCGTGTACTCTCTTTAACGGCGATTCACGTGTATCTTTATTTAAAATTTCATCTTTTTTTTGAATCTTTCTCCAAAATTACGTAAATATTAATAGTTTTAGACTTATTAATAAAAACCGGAAACTGTTATTTTTTCATCTTATTGATAAAAATTTCAATTTTTTCCATGCTAATGAGCCCTTAGAAGCTCTTTTTCTAGAGGTAATTCCGAATCCAATGAGCTAATATAATAATAATCTCACCATGAAATGGTGCCAGGTATGGCCGTCTCCCGTTAACGCCCACTAAATGGATGATGGAAATCAGAAGGAAAAAGGTCCCCTGCCTAGAGGTCGCCAGCATGCGAACCGCCAGTCGAGCGCGAGGCGCTGCACGACCTTCCTCAACATACTCAAATTCAGAAAGTAGTGCTCCTCGATATGAGCATTTCTGCATTTGAATATGTATTATTATAATGCCTTACAGACTGAATTTCAGTCACGTTGGCTAATCTTCATCGAAGACTAGCCATCTGCGTAGGACGGGACTGTAGTGTCCAAGTGTATGCGCAAGCAAATATGCTATATTCCCTCACTGCTATGGTCCGAGGGGACGCTAATTTGACAAGACTGGGGAGAGAGATCTAGCGCAAGACCAACGGCTAAACGTACTTTTCGGGATGTAGGGTTGAATGAAAGACCGCCAAATTCCTGACTCCGGGATGCCATTGAAAATTTCTTTACAGAAAAACCCAATAAATGATATTGGTCCGACCTGAGATTCAAACCTGACTAGCTTTCACAGTAACATCGGGTCTGTAGGCAAAAAAAAAAATCTTTAAAATAAATATCGCTGTTTTTGAGAAAAGTAAGTTATAAATATTGTTGTTGAATCTAAAAAGTGTAAGTGAAAGTATTATCTAGTGATAAATCTTTAAAATTCATATCACATAAAACTCTCAAAAAATTTAATAAC